ACAAGAGTTCAGGGTGTCTCTGTAGCTGTCCATTGTGGATTGAGAGTGGAACAGTGAGAGAAAAAGGAACAGAATAACCTTCTAAGAATAATGGTGGCCTCTTGGTCCCTTGTTATACGAGGACCTCTGAGGTCCTAGTAGCAGGTACTTGTTGTTGTTATGTGCTGTCGAGTCGGACCCGACTCATAGTGACCTCTCCTTGGGTTCCTGAGATGGTATCACTATGGAAGTGGATTACCCAACCTTCCTTCTGAGTAGTGGCTGGTGGGTTTGAACCGCCAGCCTTCTGGTTAGCAGTCAAGTACCTTAGGCACTTCTCTATTCAACCTCTTCTTTTTGTCACCTGAGTTCTTTATATCAGAGCCACTCCCTTTTCTGCCTTGCTGACTTATACTCATGCTTCCAGACACAACTCAAAAGTTGTGTATTCTATCATGCCTTCTCCAGTTCAGAGGTATGAAGAATACCTTGATTATAGCATCTCCCCAACAGTACTGTTATGAATATTTATTTATAATCTGTGTTCTCTAGTGGACTTTGACTCCTCGGGCCTAATTACTCATTGATACCTTGGCACCTGACACATTGCTTTAAAAAATAAGGTGCAAACCCACTGCCGTTAAGTCAATTCCAACTGATAACAAACCTGTAGGCTATAGTAGAACTGCCCTATGGGTTTTCAAGGCTGTAAATCTTAACAGAGGCAGATTGTCACATCTTTCTCCCATGGAGCAGCTGGTGGGTTGGAACCACTGAACTTTGAATTAGCAGGCACGTTGATTGGCACCAGTACATACTTAGTAATTACTTGTTGAGTAAGAACGAGGTTACAGAAAGATAGAAGGGGTAAGGAAAGGGACAGAGACTCTGCACAAGTGTATATCATGTGATATTGTTGGAGTAGGTTTTCTCTGTTGATAATACCTTTTGCATATTTTCTTCAGCTTTTAAGTTAAAAATCAAGTCACAGATGCTTTTGGTTGAGGTTCATCTAAGAAGGCACAACCCAGGACAGTGATTCTGAGGCCCTCGGGTACTGTGCCCCCTGGCTTCAGTGAGTCAGCACCAAGATGCAGTGTATTTCCTTCTTGGGTACTTGGTCAACGTACGTGGCCATGGCAATGTAGGGACTGCCTGGTGTACAGTGTCTGGGTCCACAATGCCAGGCAAGCTCATCCAGCTGCAGTCTTTATAGCATGTGTACATGAAACTGGCACTATTTGCTAAACTGGACATAAAACTTGTCCAGTATTCTTCGTTGCTATGTTCCAATAACTAACTCAAAGTTTTGAAGTACAGGCAATAGTTCTCTTAGCTAGCATAGGTTGAATATTTTCTGTATACCAAACACTGTCGTAAACCAAAAAACCAAACTCATTGCCTTGGAGTTGGATCTGACTCACAGCGACCCCTCCTTGGGTTTCTGAGGTGGTATCACTACGGAAGTAGATTGCCCAACCTTTCTTCCGAGAAGTGGCTGGTGGGTTTGAACCACCACTCTTCTGGTTAGCAGTCAAGTGCCTTAGGCTCTATGCCACCAAATGCTTATTATTTCAAGTAACCCTGGGTATTCGTCTTTCTCCCATTCTATAGACCAGAATTCAAATGGTGAAGGGTTTGTAGTCTATTCATGGCAAAGGTGGGATGAATCCATGTTTGCTTGACTCCAGGGCTCTAGGTTTTAACCTCCAAGCTGCAATGCTTCTCTTCACTAATTAATACTTGTTCTAGCTTACTGCTTACTCAAGACCAGTTTCTCCAATGGGTGTAGGTAAAACACTTCCAATGGCTCATTTGCCAGCTTTAATTGAGACTGAAACTGTTCTGAAGCTACGGCTGCTCCCTTCTGGAATCCCCATAGTAGGTTGGTACAAAGGTGCTGTTGTTATTTAACGCTTTAACCTCACTCGACTGGTCTTTGATTCCTCCTGCACCATAGATTACACAGTAAATGGAATTGTGTCCATTTTACAAGAATAGAAACTGAGCTTCAGACAAAATTAACTGGCTTGTTTGCTGTTACATAATGAACGTGTGAAAGTCAGAAAGGATGTATAGGATCACTCCTCTGCCTTTTATATCCCATCCTCTCTAATGTTTCACTCTCGTGTGTAAGGAGTTGTTGATCATCATCTATTTTGTCTTAGAATAACTTCTGCATAAAAATTTGACACTGTTAAACTAACTTTAAGTATGTTTATTGCATGAGCAAAGATACTGAACAATTTATTTATTCCTACTACTGAGTCTTCCATAACATAGCTGAGGAAATTAACCAAGTAGCACAAGGAAGCCTAAAATGCTTTTTAAGAGAGAGCTCCCAGGAGAATATGTTGAATAGTATTCTCTCTAGCTTTTTCTACAGACTTTAAAATTTATGTCTAACATGTTACTTTGCTCCTACCTCCATTTTGTTTCTTTTCATAAGAGAGAAGATGGGGGGGGGCGGCGGCGAGGAACCTTTTCTTTATCTCACAGATACAGGAATTCTCACAGAGAGAACTGCCTGTACCCATTTGTTTCTCTACACTTGTTTACCTCTTAGACCTGATCTAAACTTTTCTGATGTTGGCTCAGAATGAAAGGTGTTCCAGCTACCCAATTGAGAACTTTTAGAAATTGATAGATATCAAGAGAGTTACCATTTTTGTTTGTTTCCAGTCAGTATAGTTTCTATTAATTCTTTTACATGTTTTAATCATTTGATATGAAGA